GCAAATCGAACGCACCAATAGAGCTCTGTGATTGGTTCGTGTGTCACCCTGTGCGTCCGCGCGCACCGTGATACCCCATAGTAATGTTTTTGAATACGGGCGTTGTTTGTTAGCACATATAAAAACACCCATGGATGTCCGGCTTTTGGGGTAAAATGTCCAGCCAAATTAAGCACCGAGTCTGGCTTTTGTTTTTAAATCTGGCAACCCTAGCTCGGGGCCTCTCTAGTGGGGGTCCCGGGCCCCCCCTCCCTGCAATTTGTCACTTCCGCTCGCGCTCGCTCTCACTACGTCTTTCATAATTGGATGAATTTAAATGAAATTCCGAACTACCTTGATTGCTTTGTAATTGCTATAAAAATACTAGCCTGAGATGGTTATGAAAGAATTTTAAAATACTGTGGTTTATGTCTTGGTGTATAATAATCACAGATAAAGCGCTAGTAGGGTTAAAAGATTATGAGACATGTAGAAGCTCCTTAAGAGCAAAATATTTGACGATTTAAAAGTACTTTTTAAATACAATACCTACAAATAAAGTGACTTTGACTTTGATGATCAGAATTGTTTTCATTCTGCGTTTTAAAAACATAACTCTCCTTCTGGCGGAGTCGGGTATAAAGAATTAAACTTTTATAGTTTTACTACTTTGCTTTCACAGCGTCACTTTAATTTTGCCAAATGTCTATGTTGAAGCATTAACAACAAAATTATGAGATGGGGAGGTCAATATTATTGTTTTCTTTTTTTTTTAAATCATAACCCTCCTAGAAGTTTGGATGCCTTTTGGTATAGATATATTTGTTATGAATTCCCTTGATTTCGACCGAAAGTAACGTAATAATAGAATCTATGTTTAAGTAGGTACCTAAGTATTGAATCATGAAACAAAAATATAAAACATTCAGTGATAGATGATAGGTCTAAAACTACCTTTATTGGTTTGCAGAATTGCCAAATTCTATCTTACTATCGGACTATCCAAAGTCTCCACGATGTCCGTCCCTCACAAGTGATTGCGTTTCGTTGATACAGCAAGTTTTCCTATGAGTCCGAGTTTCCAATCCATAAGCAGGGGAAATCGAAGTAATAAGTAACTTCAGCTTATAATAGCAATGATAAGAAAGTTCCATCAGACATGGGACTCCATTAATGGTTGACAATGAATCTGTGTCTGTTCTTCTTACGCTAAGGTTTTCCTTTTTACTCTTAACCTCTAAAACTAAAAGGCATTAAGTTCACCTTTTGGACTCCGATATTTTATGCATTAAAATTTGAAGCAAGTGGATAAGTTAATAAAATTAGTATAATAAATCTGTCAATTTATTTTAATAAATTACCTATTCACATTAAAAGTAGATATTTTAATAATTATACCTACCTGAGGTACTCAATAAACAAAAATGCAGATTATTTAAACTGCCTAGCTTATTCATCATGTAAAATTTTTGAAAAAAAAAAAAGATTTGAAACAGGTGACTTAGTTAATTGTGTCACTGCTTCTCATCTTGCATGTGTGATCATACTGAATAAATAATTTATTTAAATCTTTCTTACATCACTAGCGTTAAAGTTATAAGTACTTCTACGGTACAAATACAAACAAGTCATTGATTTTCAAACATTTAAAACTCTTGGAAAGAAACACTTGAAAGCCTATTTTCAGAGGTCTGCCTTACATCTGCCTCAAAAATACCTAAATCAGGCCAAAGTCACGAGCCTTATTAATACAGGTAGCACTTTAACCTACAAAGCGGTCTCAAATTAACCCTTCAACGCAAAGGCGCCGTTAAGCCTCTAAGGCCCTGTTTATGCTCATAAGCGGAACTTAAAGCGGAGCTGTAAGCGGAGCGTGCATAGAGATAAAGAGAGATGCCAACTAATGCACTGAGTTCGAAACTCAGTGTCGCGTTAGAAATTCACGCACACAAAGTAATCAAAATATGTGCTCATTATCTACTGCGGTATCAGTACTCAACGTTCGAATAATCTTTAGTACTACGCAAGCAATGTAAACTGTTTGCATTACGACGTCGCTGCTGTCATCATTGCATTCACGAGAAATAAGATCTGTTTTTGGGCCTATTGCTGCGACACCGGCCACGCCCCCTTGTCACATTTCCCTTTTGTTAGTTTATATCTGTGGGAACGTGAGACTGATTTTTGAATGCATTTTGTTTGTATGCAAAGTCAAAGTGGGACAAATCCGTATTAGCGCGACAATTTCAGCGCCAAAATATAATATTTATTGTAACAATAAAAATAATCACCTAGCCCCAAACGCAGAGCTTAGTACCTAATTACTAGCCTAGGCGCAGACCATCGACTTTTAGTTGGCCGATAGTTGGGCCCGATTCTAATTTGTATGAAGAATCGGCCGATACCAAATCGGTGTAATGTGCGCACTTTCACATGTCCATACTGATCAACAGCACGACCCAACTATCGGTCAACTAAAAGTCAATGGTCTGCGCCTAGGCTTAGGGTTACTAAAAACAGGTAAATGAATAAAACATTCTGGGAGTGGGTAGTCAATGCGAAAAAACGCTCAACGGTTGGAATGTGCAGGTGTCAAAATGTCCATACGGACCGGCTGTTAGTGTGGCAAAAAGTATGAACGTCAAAAAGTCCCAGTGTCAAAATGTACATTATTACCATGGTTACAATGGTTTAGTGACAAATGGTACACATCACAAATATATTGTGCTCATGATTAAATTAATAAAATTTAATATCAAAATGTTCAATGTTCTCGTAGTCCAGTCAATAGAGTTTTTTTTTTGACATTTTTACCTTGATGCATTTAAACACGTGTTCACGTTAGCTATTATACAATAAGACGCTTGTTCGAATAAACCCGAAGACATTTTGACTTCACATCATTTTGACCATTGCTCATTTCGACGTTCATACTTTTTGCCACACTAACAGCCGGTCCGTATGGACATTTTGACACCTGCACATTCCAACCGTTGAGTGTGATAATACATTCTTGATGCATGAAACACGTCACTATTGTTGTTAGCAAACGTATCTCGCCGAAAACTGCCGTAGCGATCGCCATTTTGCTTAAAAGCTCTTCCAAACGTTTTTTTCCGCTAAATTTTCTGACTACCCCCGCCCCGCTACGCTCCGCGCTAAGCCTCTTAGTAGAGTTCAAGTGGTTATTAGTTGGAGTCTGTAAACTACCCTCCTAAATAAAATACGCAGCGTTTGTTGTTCGAAACGCTATTTCGTAGCGATAAAATACAGAATGTAAGTACATTGTACAGTTAAAATCAAAAGTGTACTTTAATTTTATTAGAATTTTTACATGTTCAAATTTTAATAACAACAATTAACACAGCAACTACGATACGATGTAGTATCTAAAGTCTGCTGATGCGACTTCTTGTTAATGATTAGATTTCAAGAAAATTTAATGATTATTATCGCAGGTTGACGTAATTTCATTAACACAACAAGACTACATAATACAAAATGAACTACCTACATGAAGTTTTGACTGTAAGGCAATTATTCATTCTTTTGAGCTTAATTCTCATTAAGCTAGCTCAGCATTCCCTCACTTATTATAATAGCCAAGTAGTGAATACTCGAAGACGTTTGAACATAGTTACATTAGAATCATTTCGAACAGTCTTTGCTAAGAGATTTTTTTGTTATCTGGGCAAAAAGTTATACAACCAAGCAAATAAAATTTTGAACATCTATTCTAAGTCTAAATCGGAAGTTAAAAAGTTAATTACTAAATGGCTTTTGAGTCAGAACTATGAAGAAACGGAAAAATTTATTAAATAAATAACACCAAACACATACACACCACACATACACACCACACATGCATACATACACGTTATACACATAAAACATATTTAAAGTAAATCTCCACAACACCTCTAAATAAATAATTTCAAATTGTAAGATGTACCTACTAACCTTAGTAATTATGTATCTTGGGTTGGAGGCCTGGTGCTCTAAGATACAGGCAGGATTCTGCCTAGTTTAGACACCAGTCTCCCACAGACAAATGTACCAAACTAAATTTAAGACTAGTTTTAAGAATCTGTTTGTGGAGAGAAAATAAATATATTTATTATTATTTATTATTTATTAAAGGATTGAGCTACTTGGAACGGTTAAACAACCGTCTAATAGGAATACTGGCGGCGGTACCTTGAGACTGCGCGGCTGGATCTCGCGGCACAGGGCCATGGCCTCGCCGCTATGCAGCTGCAGCCTTGACGGCGAAGACACCACACCCACCGCCTTGCCTATGATCTCGTACTTAAGATCCATAGTGTACCTTACTGACGAAAGTACAGTCGACATCCGCCTATACATTTTGATGCAAACTAGCCTCTATTACAACTACTTAAGGTGCTTATCTTACTGGGTGTACCTTGAGACTGCGCGGCCGGATCTCGCGGCACAGCGCCATGGCCTCGCCGCTGTGCAGTTGCAGTACAGCCTATGATCTCGTCACGTAAGATCGACAGTGTAGCTTACTGGTACACCCGGTACTACAGCTTTTCTTTGCAAACTAGCCTCTATTACAACTACTCAAGGTGCTTATCTTACTGGGTGTACCTTGAGACTGCGCGGCTGGATCTCGCGGCACAGCGCCATGGCCTCGCCGCTGTGCATTTGCAGTACAGCCTATGATCTCGTCACGTAAGATCGACAGTGTAGCTTACTGGTACACCCGGTACTACAGCTTTTCTTTGCAAACTAGCCTCTATTACAACTAGTTAAGGTGCGTATCTTACTGGGTGTACCTTGAGACTGCGCGGCTGGATCTCGCGGGACAGCGCCATGGCCTCGCCGCTGTGCAGCTGCAGCGTGGACAACGGGGACACCACCTCGCCTATGATCTTGTACTTAAGATCCATCGTGTGGCTTACTGACTGGTGTATAGTCGGACTCACGTCAGACTGTACATTTTGTTGCAAACTAGCCTCTATTATAACTACTCAAGGTGCTTATCTTACTGGCGATACCTTGAGACTGCGCGGCTGGATCTCGCGGCACAGCGCCATGGCCTCGCCGCTGTGCAGCTGCAGCGTGGACAACGGGGACACCACCTCGCCTATGATCTCATCGCGGGAGTATCTGACGAGGAACACATAGGATTTGTTAGATTGAAGTTGAGAAAAACTTCAGGATAGTTAATTGAAAGAGACATCGGATTTGTTACATATTAAGTCGGGAAAATGATGGACTCCTCTCGTTCTCACCACTGTAACTCCTGTATCCTTTCGAAGAATTCTATGTTAGTCCCGTGGAGTATTCATTTTCAATAACAAATCCCAACTTTTGATTGATTCTATGGATATTGAAATCTAGCTAATCCAATTGCTTGAATCTTTGCTCGAGTTTATATCGGATTTCGAGTGTCAGAATGATGTCATCATTAGTTAGTTTTAATATCCATTTTACTTATTAACTACAAAATATAACAAAAATATCAGATTCAAGGATGAAAACTTGTCATGCCCCGTAACGCTAGGATAAACCACATTAACACTATCGACTCTTGGGATAAAACTAAACAAAAAGCGATAAACAGAATAGTCTATTGATATCAACAAAATAGGTGTATAAACCTGTCAAAGCTGAGGACGACGAAGTGCAGCGTGATGGCGGCTAGCTGGTGCGGCGCGATGCCGTAGAACGTGAAGTCCTCGTCGTACACCGGGCAGCGGGTCTTGCGGACCACCCTGGAAGTGGTAGGAGCATAATTAGGTAAAGATTAAGAACGATGAAGGTTCTTTCATCTGTTTCTATACTTCCTAATGGCATGGCAATTTAGCCCTGAAAACTTGTCAGGCTAAGAGCGTCTTCAAATTCGACGCTTGGCTTCTAGAAAATGAAAACTAGTATGGGGAGCGCCTAGCATTGCGCTCGTATGACGATAGCGAAACGGCCATGCCAGATTTTGACTAAGGTGTAGAGTTAGGGCATAGCTTGGCTCTACATAAGCCCTGATAACTTTAAAACCTAACCATACGGTTCATTTGGGCAACAATTTACCTCATCACTCCTACCGCTTCAGCACACACTAGTTGGCACCACTGTCTTCGCCACTAGCAAGTGACAGTGACCTTACTCCACAGTGGCGCCAAGGGGTGAAAGTTAAAACGATAGCCATCATTATGAAGTTCATTCGTTCGTTTCAGCCGAAAGACGTCCACTGCTGGACAAAGGCCTCCCCCAAGGATTTCCACAAAGACTGGTTCTGCGCCGCCCGCATCCAGGCGCCTCCCGCGACCTTCACCAGATCGTCGGTCCACCTAGTGGGAGGCCTGCCCACGCTACGTCTTCCGGCTCGTGGTCGCCACTCAAGAACTTTCCTGCCCCAGCGGCCATCATCAGCTCTACGAGCTATGTGCCCCGCCCACTGCCATTATGAAATCGCGACTTAAATATAAACTTCCTTGCCCACATACCTGGTCTTGACCTTATGCTGTTTGTCCGGGAGCAGCTGCAGCTTGACGTAGGGGTCGGGCCCGGCCGGCTCCCTGCCCGGGAGGCCCTGGCACGACACCACCGATACCACCAGAGCGTTCTTCTCGTTTTCATATCTGCGGCAAAAGGACCGAGGTTAGACTAGATGATATTTATCTGGTGAACACATAAAAGTAATTGTTACTGGTAAGGTAAGGTACAGTACGGTAAGGTAAGGTACACATAAAATTAGTTGTTACTGGTAAGGTAAGGTACACATAAAACTAATAGTTACTGGTAAGGTACAGTACGGTAAAGTAAGGTACACATGCAACTAGTTGTTACTGGTTTTCACCATAGAAATAATCGACATTAGATCCACGCCACGCTATAAGTTAGGTAATGCTCTTCAATGCACCCTTCATGTTTTTTTTATTTTACGGTGTAGCATTTGTTGTTAGGCCTGGATGCAGGCCGCCACCAACCGGCCATTGTGGAAATCATTGGGGGAGGCCTATGTTCAGCAGAGGACGTCCTATGGCTGAAAATGATAATGATGATTTGTTGTCAATTTCGATAAAATACCATAAAAGATCTGAAATAGGTAATCGCTTCGCTAAGTTTTATATAGTTTGTCTACAAACTCTGTATTTGACACCACAAGCAAAAATTTTATAGGTGTTCATAATATCATAATAATAATCAATACAATTAAGCTCGGTCAAGTTTCATTCAGTACAAAAATCTGGCATTTACGTTACAATAAGCAAAATTATCTAGCCTAAATAATATATAGTATCGTAGAAAGATTATACTTCAGACTAAAAGCATTTAGGTACTCGCCAAAAATATTCCGTGAAAGAGCCTCTTACTGAAGAACTGTACTTGAATAGATCCTAAGCTATTATCCTTATGATAAAACGGTTCGGTCAAGTAGGCACCTAAGGCTAAAGGGTCAGTAATAACACAAGTACATAATACTCTCAATACGAAGGAGGAAATGGCCGTACAATTCAGCAATAGTTCTCTGCGGTATCTAAAAATAGGGCTAAGGGCCGTCGGACGTGCTCAGCCTACAAAGTGGTCCGAGTGTAACCAAACACTCATTTACAAGACATTTATCTAATAGGACCTATTCTTGGAATAAATATACAGGCAGAATAATGTTCACTGGATACACTCTACATTTAGTAAAAAAATAAATGTACTCGGCCAAAGTTCTCCATCTTTCTTTTGTAAGCATGGATTAAGTTTTTTTTTCCAAGAAAACCATTAAAATCATTGCGAAATGCTTACATTTTAGCTTATTGTTGATGATTATACTCTTGTAAGTTACGAGTTATTGATAGCTCTATAATACACAAAAATCTTTTAATTGAAACAAACACTAAAAGATGTTAGCTGAACCACATCGAGTGTGTTATAGGTATCATCATGTTTAGTAATGTAAGGTTTATTCAAGCACGAGCATCACCCTTAATAAATCTTTCCTGACAATTTAATTTACTTTAGGCCGAAATTGTATTACTCATAACGTCTTAAACAACTTTTAAGAGTGCTATAACAGTGAGTACCGCTACCAATTTTCTTTTAAGAGCCTCTTAAATTTCGCTGACAAATAGCGTCGCAACATATTCTACTGCGACTGTATTAACGTTAACTTACGACTTGGTTAATAAGGTTGTTTCTCGTTTGCATTTTAAGCCAATGACATCTGTTTTCGGATATAAAGCTAAAGGCTTTAGATCCAATGATTGAGCCACGAAGTTTAATAACTTTACATACAAATTGCGTGGGAGAAACTGGGATTTAACAAGGCTTATGACTCCTTTTAATTTTGTGAAGTGATTTATTTATTGATTACAGTGATTTTTAATTATTTTTTCAGTACGTCACTGGTATAGCCCTTATACTCGTAGTTAACGCTGTCAGTTTAAAAGTTTGAGTTTTGACTTTAAAATGTCCAAATTAAAATATTAGGCGATCTATATGTTCTGTTTTTGTATAGCCCATTGGATTGAGTAACATTGGGTACATTCAGTCATCATCAACAGCCCTTTACAGTCCACTGCTGGACTATGAGCCTCCTCCACTAAAGTGGAGGGTTTTGCCATAATCTCCACGCTTGGCAGGCGGGTTGAAGATCGCAGTTTAAAAGATTGATGTTTTTCAGAGAGCGCTGCTGCCCATTCTCTGTTTGATGTGTAGTCCCTAAGTCGCCTCTTACGACACCCGCGGGAAGAGTAGGGGTTGGTGACAAATGTATTCTACTCTGCCGTCACCACACGGCTTCAGTCATATGATTATGCTACTATCGTTTAACCGTGCAATAACGTATAAAGTTAAGATCCATAAGAAAACTAAAGATATTTGTTTCACATCAGCAATATTACAGTTATACCGCATAAAGACCTGAGAAAAATACTGCAGACAGAAAGTTTTATGTCGTTGCCGTATGCGGCTGTAAACTTCGACGTATTCGACGTACAGTCGGTTCAAGTATGTTTATAACTGACTGACGTTGAACCTTAACTGTTTGTAATAAGGTAACATCGTTCTGCAGACTGTTTGGGCCCTAAAGACTAAATAGTTACTTACTTGAATTTAAAAACGGGCTATTGATGCCTTTACGACTGTCTGCGGCTCAAAGGTCGTGACCTAACTACTTTTTAACAACTAAGTACCTATGATAGTCTATTTAACTACTAAAATTTGGACATTATCCTTTACATAATGACAAACAAGGTGAACAAAAGTGAACACCTTTCATTTATTTAAGTGAGAGATCCTATTCAACACTACTACACATTAGAGTTTCAAAAGAGACTCATCAAGGGGTAGATCACTTTACATTTAATTCGTGTGGAGTTATTTTCTATGTATATTTGAAGAGTAGCACCGTAGCAGGCCTGGCTCACTCCGCGCGGTACATCCGATAATTACCTACAGCGAAGCGCCCCGCCGGCGGGTATTATATCAGTCGAGTGTCATGCGCGCGCCCGTCCAGGACGCTGGCGTGCGTTGTAGTACCTAATTCTATGATCGAAGATAATATTATAGAGAATATTATTTAAAAATGGACATAAAGAGAAAGAAATATTGTGCGGCGTTCGGGTGTTTAAATTCGGAAAGAAATCTACCGGATTTATCTTTTTTTCGCTTCCCAAAGATGCTGAAAGGTATGTTGGCCATGTAGGTATTTTTAGGATAGTATAGGAACCTAACCTACCATGACTACTGCTCAGAATGCGTTCGTTCGTTTCAGCCAAATGACGTCCACTGCTGGACAAAGGCCTCTCCCAAGGTTTTCCATAATGAATGCGTACTTACCTATATACGTACCTCATTACAAATAAGTAGATTAATTATTTTTTCACTAGACAGCAACCCTAACAGCGCAAGAAGAGTACGCGATAGAAAGAGACAAAACTTGTAGATGAATAAAATTGTAGGTACTTAGTGCTGTGCGAGCTGAATTCCACTGTATCGCGTCGTAGGAAGACTCGCATTTATTTAAATCGTCTTGCGGAGTAATCCTTCTGTACCTGTACTATTACTTATTCTGTGATTTTAATGCCATTGGATAGATCTGCTCATCGCGCGTCTAACCATTGGTCACATGTTATAGATTTCAGCCAATAAGAAGCCGTAATTTGAATTTTAGTGACACCGCGCAAGTCGGTTTGCCTCGCAACACCGCTCAAGTCGTTAGTCTGCCATACATTTCTCGTAAAGTTCCTTCGCGCTCCGTAATTTTTATATTTTTAAGTGAGTTTTATCGCGAAAAGGTCTATGAAAGAAGTTTTAATAGAAGATTAAGAGGTAAGCTATATAATAATGTATTTTTTAATGATTTACGCGTATTAATATATAAGGAAATGATAATAGAAAATATCTTCATTTACTTAAGCGGTGTTTACAATTGTATTTTTTCTAACTTAGGCGGTGTTTCAAACTGTATTTTAATTCTTTTAGGAAGCTATACAAGTCAAACACTATTGATGGAGAAGGAACTGATTCTTGAAGTATTCCGAGTTCAGGTGATGAATTGTTATGTGCACAATTACAATAAACAGGACATAAACGGCGTTAGCAACTGCCCAGGTTTCAATCGAATCGAAGGCTTTCTCATAATCCACAAACGCCAGGCAAAGTGGCTGATTATACTCCTCGGTCTTCTGTATAATCTGCCGCAGCGTGTATATTGTGATCTAAGACACTAAAGCCTGCCAGCCAGCCTGGAAACCAGCTTGATCAAGAGGCTGGAAGGCGTCGAGTTTGCGAGCTAGACGATTCATAATTACTCGAAAACAGCTTGTAGACATGGTTCAGAAGTTAGATGGCTTCAACAAGGTTTCATCGCCGTTTTTTGAAGAAGAGTATCACCACATTTCTGTGCCGTACCGTAGGGGTTTTTCCCTCGAGGATGACGGAATAGAACAGCTTCCAAAGAGCCTTTAGCATCGACATTTCACCTGCTTTCAAAAGCTGAGCCGTAATTCCAGCATCACCCGGGGCCTTGTTGTTTATCAGCTGTTCCAGAGCTATTCCAAGCTCATGTAGACTGGCGTTCTGGATATCTTAGGTATTGTGTCGGGTCAATCTAGCTCTTGTGTCTTCGGCTAGACAGGTGTTGTGACAGGTGTGAACACAGACGTTTATAATTGTCCGTAGACCTTCTCAACCTCTTCCAATATCTCAAGCCCCGACACTATTCTCGGTCTTCAGCTTGGTCAGTTGGCTTTGGCCAACAGACAGGCTGATCTCTTACGAACACCTTAGAGTCCTTGTTATGCTCAATCGTCTGTATTACGAGTATATGCGTAGGTCGCGAGTCAAAAGATTTAGAGATCTATCTGTTAAGACGACGGTATTGAGTAGCATCTTCAGATGACTGCAGATCCATGTTTCGTCTATCTTCTATATGGTTGTTGATGAGATCAGAGATCTTTTTTGTTTCTCTTAAACGACGGGTTTTAAAAACCTTACACCCAGTCATTTGGACAATTCCCAAGAACCTGCCATTGTACTTTTCCACATTTTTGCAATGTCCTGGCATTGGGAACGATTTTGCAACTCGAGTTGAGCTTTCGGGGTTGGATGGACGCTGGGCGGAGTGTAGACTTTATCAGTCGAC